CTGCTGGCCCTCCCCGGTGGTGGCAGCCGCCCCGGCCGTTTGCGGGCTGCGCTCTGGCAGGGGGAGCCGCAGCGGCGTCGCGCCCGGGAGAGGATGGGGCCTCTGAAGCCGGCCAGGCCTTGGGGAAGGTTGGGGCTGGATTTGCGGCCTGTGGCTGACTCCAGATCCGGGCCCGCTGGAAGTTGGGGAGAGTTGTCATCCGGATGTGTTGGGGCAGCTTGGAGTATTAGCTGTGCTCAGTCCCATTGCAGGATGCCTGTTGGTTAGTTCTAATGGCCTGTCCTGAATGCAAAGCTTCAGAGCAGCCCTCTCAAGCCCCGTTAGTCAAGGAGAGACCTTGAGGGCATGTGGAAGCCACTTAGCACTTGCCCTGGGGGATGGGGTACAGCCACAACCGTGCTTCAGTTCCCATCCTGTCAGTCTGCTTCTGTACAGTCTATTGCCAGCAGCTCTACATGCCCATGGTCTGCGCCCTCCACCATCCTATCCTCGCATCCCACCTGGACACCAAGTGGCAAGACACTCTCAATGAGAATGAGCCGCTGGGGACCTCAGCTGGTGGCTCCTCTAGGAGCTGTCACCATGGGGATATACCTGACGCACTTCATGACTCCCCTGACACCTGCCCTATGAGGCTGAAGTTGGTTGCTAATGAATACATATGCACAGCTGATAAAATTCTCTTTAGGTCGTGTAAATTTGTTAATAACAAGCTTTTATTGAGTATAGAGTAGCTTTGAAAAAGGAACTGGGAATAAGCACCCAACTTCAGCCTCATCCTGCCCCTTATGTGAGCACAGGGAGATCCTGATGTGCCAACCTGGAGTGTGCCAGGCTGCAGCCCCTTCACTGCCTCCTCCAGCAACTCCTCCTGAGGGTGCTGGCTACACTTCTCCCTACATCTTTTTGTTTATGCACTCCTCATCTGTGACCCCACCAGGTCCCAGGACCTCCTGGTCAACCTCCTGGCTGTAGCCAAACAAATAATCTACATGACCAGGAAGGAGGCTGTGGCCAGGGGGACTCCTAAGGACTGCAGGCCGGTTTTCCTGTCCCTGATCTATTCGTATGTCTAGGTTGAGTTTCACTGGGCAGTGTCCACTGGCTCCTTGGATGTGTTCAAGGGCCGGTGGCTGCTGTGTGATGTGCTTTGCTCAGTGTCCCTTGGCACACTTATTTTGAACCTGTGACCTTACTGTTTTCTCTTTAGTTGTCCCCCAGAATCAGCTGCTGTGTCCCCAGTGGCCTCTCTGCTAAGGGAGACTTATAGTTCTTCCTTGAGGGCCCAAATCCCTGATCCACTCGGCTCATCTGAGGGCAGTTTCACTGTTTGGTGTCCATGCGCTCCCTCAACTCATTCCGGGGGCTGTGAGCACTGCCTGGTGTGCTCTGCTCAATGTCCCCTTCTGGATCCCTGTTAACCTATGACCCTCACTCCCTTCCCTGTTTTATTTGTCCCAAGAAATTTGTTGTTGTGTTCCCAGTGGTCTCCCTTTTTAAGAGAAGCTTATAGTTTTTCTTGCTGGACCTAGGCCCATGGTACCCCTTAGTGCAATAAGTGGGCCTGTCTTACTGCAAGTTAGTTCACAGCTGGTCCCTTTCCTTCCACCCATACATGCTGGTAATATGCTATATGCCTTCATGCAGTTGGGATTTCAAGCTTGGAGTGACTGTTCATCTGATTGCATAGTGGCATTGAAACAACTGTGTCTGTGTGGGAATCAAGAGAGGGAATTAGATGCGTTAGTCTGAAGTCAGACAGGGTAGAGTTGAACCATGCAGATTAACAAAACCAGACATGTATAGCATGAGCATTCATGAGACTGAGCTCACTTCATCAGATGCTATGAAAGGAGGTGCACAGAGTGGTGTATCAAATGGACAGAGTGGTTTGAATACAGAAGGGGAAAGGGGAAGGGAGAGGGGGTCAGGGAAAATAGGCCTGGAAAAGTCAGGCTTGTGGGAGTCAACATTGTTGCTTAATATTTGCAGATCTTAACGCCTTATTGAGAGTTTTCCTAGAGCCATGATTCTCAGCCTCACCCTGGGGCACCCTTGAGATCCTTTCAGGTGTGCCCCAGGGTGTTGCACAGTGTTAGCACTGTTAGGTTTGCAAACATGATTTACAAGATAAACCCAGAGTTCTCCCACAGGAATCCATAGTGTTAAAACCATTCCTGTTGGGATCTTTCTGAGTTCTTTGCAACAGAAGAATTGCTTTATTATTTTTTTGTAGTCAAAAATTGATCAGAAGTGAAGACCTGGCATTTTCCACAGCATGGAGTTGTGCTGTGTGCTATGGTCCCTGAGGTCTCTCATGTAGCACTCTTCATAAACATTCAAGGAAGCAAATAAAAACATACAGTGGGGATGGAAATAAAACAATGAATTACACCTAATTTCACTTTATGTTCTTAGGATGAGTTGGGACTGGATTGGCTTTAGCTATGCCGCGCTGATTGCTTCGGGTGGAGTAATCGGTTATACAAAAGCAGGTACAGTATTGGTAAATTCCTATCCTCTTTGTTTTATGACTGGATTAAAGGATGGGGCCTGGGAGCATCCCTTTTGATTATGAACGTGGGCAAACTTTGGAACAGGCTGCATAGAGAAGTGGCATCTCCATCCCTGGAAATTTTCAAACGCAAGTTAGAAAGATGTTTGGCTGGGATGGTTTAGTCAAGCATGATCCTGCCTTGAGCAGGGGCCTGAGTAGATGACTTCATAAATCCTATTTCCAGTCCTATCCTCCTGTGAAAATAGGCCAAAATACTACTTTTTTTACTAGTGAAGAGTGGGTGCAGTGGAGATAGGGTATTTACATTTTCACATTGAGTCCTGAAGTGCATGCATGATTTGTTATGGTAGGCAGGCAGGATTTTGGGGAGCCACAGGCACTGAGTTGGTTGGTGTAACCCCAGGAGTGGAGAGCCTTGATTGTGGGGTAGCCTGCAAAGGAAGTAGGCCTACCTGGGACGCATGTTTAGGGTTCGAAAAATGTAAAACAGCATAAAACCCTGTGAGGCAGCCCAGACCCCTTTGTTTCCAAAATGAAATACTTTAGTCCCTTTGAGTTCTTAATCATCTGTCTCAATTTGGAATGGCAAAAAAATTGTAATTTCTATTCCATGATAAAACCTTTAATTATCTATAGTTATGTATGTTATATTCATTCTAGCTGTACCATTTGGATTATTAAGAGACAGTAGTCAATCTGTAGTTAAACCTGCAACCGAGTTTCCAGTATAAGCCCAGTCTCCATTATATATCTTCTTTGCCTATACCATAAATGTGAACTCAATATAAGGTCACACCTGTGTGCATTCACCATTCTGTGAATTTCTGTTGTAGGAGGTTTAGCTCTGAAGTGCTTTAGGCATATTGACTCATAGTAGAGATGATATCTTCTAATAAACCAACAAGATTTTTTTAAAAAAAATGCCTTTAATTGTAAGCTTTTGGGCACACATGCTTCATCAGGCATTGGAGAAAAGATTGTAGAAGTTCTCCTGGGTAGAAATGAAAGTTTGTATTTCATAGGATTTCACAGAGGAGTCAATAGATGGAAAAACTCCTCTGGGCAGTCAGTTCATATCTGGTATGGAGCCTCTCACCTCCTGTGAGGATCTGTGTTGATGCAAATTACCTTGAAACAAAGGCAGGGGCAGGATCTCGGGTTTCAAGTGGTCACAGTTGCTTCCTGCTTGGGAAAATATGAAGATTTCATTTTTAAAAATCGGCTAAAATTCAGTATCTTCCATGTGTCAGGTATCCAGGTTGTAGCCATATTGGTCGAGTATCTAGGTTGGACTAGACCAAGACGGCTACAACCTGGATACCTTAGGCATATTGATACATGCCTAAACCTATAGAGGTTGTTAACTAAACTTTTATATGGAACTGTTTCTGACTGATCAATGTCTAATGTTTATATTGCTAGCTAAGTACAGCAATATTGGTCCGGCAGCTATTCCAGATCTATTTATTTGATGATGGTGCTTTTTTAGGATCTGCCAAATAGCCATGTGAGTGAAAACTGACTGAACCAATCTTTGCTGATGATCTTAAGCACTAATGCTTTCCTCTCTTGGCTTAGTGAAAAATGTAATTTTGGGGTTGTTTTGTTTATGGACTGGGTTATCAGCTCTTCTATTCATGAGTGTATGTCTTTGTTTTATTCAAGGTAGTGTCCCATCTCTAGCTGCTGGCCTTCTCTTTGGGGGGTTGGCTGGGCTGGGTGCTTACCAGCAGTCCAAAGACCCAAAGAATGTGTGGCTTTCCCTGAGTAAGTACATTTAAAAATGTCTATTAAATGGACCTGACGCATGCATATTTAATGTTTATCATCATAAACTTGATAACACATTTTACTGACTTGTTTCACACAGCTGGCCTACAGGGTTTTATTTTATTTATGGATCTCAGCAAGGCTGTTCATCAGTTTTGCTTCCAAAGGAAGTGTTCCCATAAAAACGGCACCTAATTCTAAAAACCATGTTCATGGGGATAACCTTATTCACTCCTGGACTTCCAAAGGGGCTGTATTTGGTTAAAAAATCAGTGTCTTGTGCATTGCACATATCTGCTGCAATGTAGATCTCATGTCAGCTGGAGACAGGGACATGGAAGAATATGTGGCTGTGAAAAATGCATCACTATTACACGATGAGGTAATAAAATAAATATTCACTCCCTCATGATAAGGATTAATATTATTTATGGAGCCTGATAGTGGAAGAGGCTGAGAGCTCTTGTCTGCCAGACTAGAAGCAACTGGCACCATGCAAAATCAGGACCACTTATCAGTATGAGCCCAAATTGGGCACAGTTCACAGGCATCCAACTTTGTGAGCCCCTCCATGGCTTGACAGGCAGCAGGAATGTTGTCTCAGAGAGTGGCTAGATCATGCAGGGGCTTTCAGACACCTTTGCCTAATGCTTTGTGGTAACACTTGTTATGAGGACCAAAAGGGTAGAGTGGTCTTGTTGAGGATAGTGCCTTGGAGGGTCAGAGTGTAACATGCAGACAGGCCAAAACTCCACAGAGAAGTAGAATCAACTGTTTTCCCCCCTCCTCTGGTTTTGCCTTTGTGGCTTCAACCCAGCTGTAGATTAGTTCTGCATCTTGGGGTTGAGGACTTCATTGTTGCTTTGGGTTATGTGTTGTGCTGAGTTTTCAACCCATCTGTTCAAACCTTGCAGTACCTTTTACCAGTTCTGTGAAGCTACTTAAATCAGCAATAACATGAACATGGCTGATGATTTGGTTTATCTTTTAAGTTGAATTATGGAAAAAGATAAGTAGTTAACCATGTTAGTTTGGACAAACAAGGCAGGGCACGGTGGCACTCTGGGTGCCTATACGCATGCAGGGAGGCTGCTCAGATGCACTGTAATTACCACGCTTCAGCAGATTCCAACGTCATGTGTATCAGCATCCCTGTGCTGAAAAACAGCAGCAGGGACACTTTAACTAAAGTTTGTTGAATGAGCTTAGTTAAAGCACTGCCGCGTTCCCCCCTCCCCCCTGCTGTTTTTCAGTGCAGAGATGCTGATACATATGATACTTTGGGTGCTTTAATTAAAGCGCCCCCCCATCCCCATCCTGGAGCACATATATAAAGATTAACTGGTTCAGAGAGGTAGAAACTTTCACAAGTGACAGGCCACTTCATTAGATACTATGATGAAGATAACTTCTAAACAAGCAGGTTTTTGTCTATGAAACCTTATGCCTCTCTCAATCAGTTATTCTCTAAGGGTATGTGTAGACTAAATGGGGGCCCTAAATTGAAGTGGTGGGTTTTTAAAAACACCGCTTCAATTTAGGGCCAGTTAAATTCCCGTGTCTTGTACACACCTGACTTACCTGCCTCTCCGGCAGTGGGGAGGGGCGGGTGAGCTGCTAGCAGGTGGAGTGGTCCTTGGGCTGTGGGAGGCAGCAGGTGCTTCCCTCTGCGGCAGCCCCCACCCCGCAGGCGGCACCCACCCACAGACACCCGGCTTGGGCAGTCCTGGCAGGCAGCACAGCCGTGGAGGGAAGCACTGGGCCCCCGTGCAGCTCAGGCAGGCAGGCAGGCTCTGCGAGGTGGGAAGGAAGATTGGGCTTGCCACTTTTTTTTTCCCCTCTTGGGCAGAGCCTGCCTTCCCGAGCTGCTGCCAGGTTCCCTGTAGTGCTTCCTGCAGAGTCCCTGAGCTGCATGGAGCCCGGTGCTTCACTCCACAGCTGGTAGAGGAGTTTTAGTTCATTGCACCCCAAGTCATTTAAGGCGTATTACACTGCCGAATTTGCTGCAGTGGCTGTAATTAATGCACAGTACGCCAGAGGCGTGCAAACAGACACCATTAAAGCAGTGCAAAAGCATTTAGCCCGCTTTAAAGTGTCGTGCACACATGCCCTTTGTTTCGTCTACACACAGCCTAAGATGCTGCCCTGCCCTACTTTCTGCTTGGATAATGGAAGGTTACGAAACATATTACTAATACTTAGCCCTTGTATGACATGCTTCAGTTTCAAAGCACTTTACAAACTCTCTCACAACACTTCTGGGACATAGCTAAGGAAACCCACGTTATACTGATGGGGATAAAATGAGAAATACAGTTTTTATGATGTGTCCAAAGATTTAGGGGGACTCAGACTTCAAGTTCTCGTTAGAATGACCTATTTCTGATCAACACGAGAGAGTACTTGTGGCAGGGGGACTTGAGTTTAAAGAATGTCTGTGCTTTGTAAAATCAAAGGGTAAAATATTGATTTGGAGGCTAGTTTGTATACAGAAGTATATGCCAGTCTGCTGTAGGTTTTTCCCCTTCTGCCTGTAGAAATAGGCCTATCTCAGTTCACTTGACATTGTTACTTATTGATTACTTTCTGCTAACTCAGTGCTCTCACCTCAGATTCCTTTACAATACTTGACTTGGTGTCTTCTTGTCTTTTGGTCAGTTGCATCTGGAACCTTGACTGCAGTTATGGGGATGAGATTTTACAACTCCAGAAAATTCATTCCCGCAGGGTTAATAGCTGGTGCCAGGTACTACACACTGTGTTCCTGTTCATGCCTATATTTTTAATAACCTTTATATTTATGTCTTTATAATAGTTTAATCTACATATTTGGAGAATATGTTTCATGTATCAGAGCTAAATAAAACCAAACCATTTCAATTATTTTCTAGCTCTTGGGTTTATTCTGAATTTGTTATTTGGTTTTGTGTTTTACCTTCAGTAAGCTCACAGCATTTTCCTTTCAACAGCATCTTAATGGTTGGGCGCCTTGGACTGAAGATGATGGAGAAGCCTCTTGAGCCATAATTCTGTGACTGGAAGGTGTGTGGATGAGAAGTCTGAAAATGCAGCTGCCTGAATGTACTATGCAAGAGAAGCAGAAGACACAGCCATTTTGCTTAAAATTTTTCTTATCCTAATGTGTGTGTGTTTTTTAGAGGAAAGGAAATCAAGAGTCTTCATCTTTTAAAATGTCATTTTTTCTTCACATTTCCCACATGGTGTAGCAAAAAATGGGGTATACCATTAGTTTATGTTCTGATCCTGTAGCTAGTTGTACTTCGGTATCTCAGGTCCTACATACAGGCAGTTGCAGGATTGAGGTGTTCAGTGCGTCTGGACTTGTTATTCCCTGAGAAGTGTCTGCTTCCAAATTTGGACACACAAAATACTTTATTTTTGGTAACTGGTGTGGGTGGGGGGGGAGAAACTGCCAACCTGCTACTAATACTTATTATACAAAATGTGCTCCGTCTGTTGTAACCTTGTGTCTTCACCTCCTGCCATCATTTTTGCCTGCCTCATCCTATCATAAATCTACAGTATGAGCTAGCTTGAGCAGGGAATTTCTTACTTAATACTTATTTGTACAAAGCCTGACAAGGAGATCACAAATCAAGGGTCAAGCCTCTAGGTGTAATGTATAAGGTAAGAGTATCTATAGCGAGTGTCTGGCTACACACCATGAAATTCACTCGATAATAATTGTTGAGCTATCTTTCAAAACTATGCTTGATCTGAAAATGCTTGAAGCATTAGCATATGTTATTTCAAAGTCCGAAGAATGTTTCTTTCACTTCTTAAAATTAAGCAAGAGGTCATTCCGATTAAACAAATAGATGACTGTTATGCTCATGAAGATCAAGTAGGGTACAAGTATCACTCTTCTGGATTGGGTCAGTTTCATGCCATCCTTGTAGTATGCTTGGGTTAATTTGTGAAAATGAGTCAATTTTAAGATGTTAGTATGTATACGCAGTCAATGAATTACAGCCTCTTAGGTGGAAGGGGCAAAAAGAGTGAACAAATACCAATGCTTTATTCTACTGTACCAGCATTGCATTAAAGCTTGACAATTTTCAAAGAAAAATGTGTGTTGGAGATTATTTGAGCAAGCAACATGTTGTGGGGGTAAGGCAAATATAGTTTTTGTACATAGCTCTGCTTAAGGACTGGAGGTCAGATCTAACAAAAGACTTGGATATTTTCAATGGGAGGTAGTAGACATGAGGGGTTTTAAGTCCATAATTGTGATTTAAAAGCAACAAGCCTGTTTAGCATCTGCCTAACCCTGAGGTACCTAAAGTTGGCAGGCATCTCCCCATGATCTGAAAGTGCTGTATTCCCTTATTTTACACATACCCAGCACTGACCAGGTGTAAGCAACTGGCAGCTGGCTTTGTAGTATGGGGTACAGCATCCATTCTTCTGAATATTATAAGGAGACATAGGAATTACTTAACCTGTTGGTTTGAGTACTTGCCAAAGGGGGTGGAAATTGTGGGCTGTTGTCCCTGCTCCTAGGACCGTTTGTGCTTTTTACATTAAACAGTCACTGGATTAAAAAAACAGAAACCATCGAGGGAACATGGACCACAGCACAGGACACCCCAAGTGCTTCCCAGCTGAGTACCTTAACTAGACTACTGAAGTGTTATGCTCCCTCTTGTTGTCTCTACTAGCCTATACATCTTTGAAGTTGGGAGTAGGGATTTCAGAGGCACAATTGGGTTCAATGCTTCCTATTGGCTAGCTCTAGGTTTGTGGGGGTTTTTGGATTGCCTTTCTGAGATGCTGGACTCCCCATGCACTGTACAGGGTGCTCTAGGTTCTGGATTCCACTTCAGGGGCCAGCTGGGTGCTGGAGGCACCTAGGTTTTTCAGTGGATCTACCCCTAAAGGGTTAATAAAACGAAATATACTGGGCAGATGCCCTGCCTCTTTATATTACTGCTGTGGAAGTAAAATACAAAGACACATATGTGTCTGCAAAAAAACACAGGCTGGTGAGGTAAGGCAGTTTTCAGATAGTAACTGGCTCTAACTCCTTAATGAGTCATTAACTACAATTGTGTGTAATTAGCACCCAGGGAAAACAAGACCTCAGTCAGATGGGGCTTATTCTGGCCTGCCTTCTAAAATTAGGTCCAAGGATTATTGTTAAATGTTACTTGTATTAAACAACCCAGTTGTCCCACAGAAGGGGAAAAATATATATATTTTTATCTCTGAGAGTTTTACTAACTTCTGTAATGACCTCTTGTGTCCTGGAGAAGCAGCAGCTACCCAAAGCAAGTGGAAGAAATATTGGACTTTTTCCAAACTGTTCAGATTGTTTTTAAACTACTGAGAGCTGCTTTTCGAGTTTTTAAATTCAGTAAATGTTAAAAAAAAAATCTAATGAACTAGACAACAGTATAGTTTAACCTCTTCTGACTAAATACGCTGCATCAGGCCTGTAAGCACTGCAAAAACATGGTCATGTTTGGGTTATAAGGTCAGCTCTGGCTGGATACATGTCCTTACTCTAAAATAGAGTAACAGATGGCATATATTCATGTTTACAACATAACAGCTATTTTAGTTTTCTGGAATTTCTCTCCCAAGTGACTTCCTAGTGAGTTATACAGTACACAAGCTATTTACTATTAAATAGTACTTTGACCAGACTATTTTAAAGGAAAAGACTGTTAAATCAGCAGCATCTTATTGTCCTGAGAAGTGATCTTTTATTATGAAGTCAGTGCCTTTCAATTTACATTGCAGTCATGAATGAGCCTCTTTTGGAAAGTCTGAGTCTCTGTCTAATAAGTCACTACTGATACCATATAAAACCCCTGCTTTTAAATAATAGAAGGAAGGTGCTGTGGGGAACTGAAAAAATAGAAAAGTCACTTAATAAATGGAGCTTAATTAAAACCTATGTGACATTGTTATATTAAGAGCTGCGTTCAATATAGACCTTATGACCTTGCCAAAATACTTGATTCTTGGTAAAATCAAGCTTCTTTAAATTGCATAGCTTACTGGATTGTGGTAGAATATGTCTGCAACACAAATTTAAATATCTTACACAAAAACAAATCATACCAAATACTCCCACCCCACCTTTTAAACCACATGGATCCATCTAAGAGCTTTATAGCTCTAAATAAGATATAGTACATAGTCACCGTGTACTTTTAAAGTGGCAAGTTTAATGTAGCTATCAGGTCTACAATGTCTGCTCTAACTGCAGGTTTTAACAGCACGTTTCCCAGACTGGAATTCTGAGAAAATTCATTGGAAGGGGTGAGGTGCTTCAATTTATTAAAACATAAAGGAGGAACAAAGCATATTAAAGTACAGTTCATAGATGCTGGGATATTATGTGACCTGTATTGGCATCAATGGAGCCTGTGTTCATGTTAAAGACCAGAAGGTGGTTCCTTATCTACACTCCAAAAGAAGTGTGTTTATATGGCTTTTCTTTGGCCTGTTTCCTGGGTTTTACAGGTTGTTGGGTTTTTTTAATGGATTTTTGTGTGCAGTGGGGATTTCTGTAGTTCAGCTTTATTACCTCTTCTTGGTAATCACAAAAACTGTAATCATACAGCTAATGGGAGATAGCCAAGCCTTTTGCCAATGTGCCATGCTGCAGTGACTTTGACTCCCAGTAATGTCACTGTGAGTTCCCCAGGGCAGACTAGGTTCACTATGGACATAGATTATAGGAGAACAGAATCTATTGAATCTTACTATACTTGGCCCTGTGACTAATGATCAGTACTTGGTAAGCCATTTTGCAGAACTGCTATTACTACCCTTCACTGTTTTAGTCTAGAATATGCAGCCTTTGCTTATGTTGGTAAAAGTGGTCTCAGCAATGGCTATATTTGTAGGAGTAAGTGTTCAAACAAGTTTGCACAGTCCAGCCTTACATAATCACTAAACACGTACAGCTTGATTCTAGGACCTGTTGTTGAACTAGCAGTATAGCATTGGCTTCTGCTCTGAACAGTGCCTGTTTGCCTTGAGCACTGAAACTGCACAAGAAAGCAACATTGGTAGCCTAGCGTTGCTACATCTCAGCTTATCACTTGCTGCGTAACTACATGAAAGCACAGATCACCCGTGCAGGATTACTCCCGGAAGAAATTACTCTAAAGTCAAGTTCTTTTAGGAATATGCAGGATAGAAATAGGTCTACAGAAAGGGTTCTCTTCCCTGCCCCCACTAGTGCAACATACCTTTTATTAATTGTTTTAAATACTCAGCAGTTTTGGCAAGATGCTTTGTACAATATTTTATAAAATCCTACCTTAATAGCCGATGTGTTAAACAATATTTCTATATAAAATGCTTTACATTTTCTACAGCTCATAAGTCTTTTTTTTGTTCTATTTTTGCATAGTCTTCAGAGAGCAAAGGGCAGAGGAGCATTTCTAGCATCCCAGGGTGGAAAGACGGAAAGCCACAAGCACAGCAAGGGCACTCTGAGATAATGCTTCTATCGATGTCCTCCGTACTTAGCTGTCCAGTCTGTTCTGCCATGCACTGGCTGAACTGGGGGAGGGCGGGTTAAGATGCTCATGTTTTTTGCTGCTGGAGTGTAAGTAGGTCCTGATAACTGAGCACAGGCAGCTTTTGTTTTCCAAGAATAATCTAAAAGAAACCAACAAGGAAGGCAGAAGCAAAGAAATGACTAGGTGTTAATCTTGCCAGTTCAGAAAGCAAGAAAATTGAAAGTTTATAACACTTTTGTGGAAATGAATTATGTTAATAGTTCTCTTCCTTTCTCAACTGTGTGAGGCTTCACTGCTTCAATGTGAAACACTGATTACAGAAACTACTGCACAGTTCAGTTAATCTGCAGCTGTATAGATCCTGTATCTCAAAAAGTGGAAGTAGTTTATTGATAAGTTTCCCCTGCTAAGCATTTGTTTTGCCATGGTCCTTGCTACAATGCTTTCAGGTAGAAATTTGGTTCAAGGCTGGATTTGTACAGTGTATATACGTGTGTCTATATTGTGTTTACATACTATTGGTGTTTAACAACTAATTGTCTTAGTTGGTGTGAAAACATTAACTTTGAGAGCATAGGTAGGGGGCTGGTTCTTCATATGCATATTCTGAGATCAGGGAGGCAGGCATACTCCCATGCCCCATCCACCAAGAAGTGATTCAGTTCAGAACTCAAACCTTCACCCACCCTTAGGGATTCTTCGCCTCTTTTGCTTTCAAGTAATCTGGATTTTTTGGAAGATGCACCCTTAAAATATTTCCCTGAGAAATATTTCATCTGAACATCTTTGTGGTGGTGGGCTAGTTTTTCTTTACCTTTTTTAGGGTCACTGACAGTAGAAAGATCTGATAGGCAGGAAAAAAAAGGAAAACAAATGAGTGCCCAACTTATTTCAGAAAACAAAAGGAAGCAAGAACAGAACTCCACATTGTAAGAAAGCAATGGACTACATGAAAGCATGTATTAGCATGCTATTAGAGAAGTGCGTGAGGAAAACTGTTGGCGCATCCTGTTCATTATCATTACCCTGCCAGTAGTAAGTAAGAAGTAAGTAAGAACAGTCTCTTGCAATTGTTTTCAGTTTTACTTGAAGAGGTAAGAGAATCCCTCTGCTACAGCTATTTCAAGGAGACCATTCCATATCCTAACTGTCCTCAGCATCATTTTTCTTCTTATTTAAAACACATTTTTCATTGATTAATTTCATTCTATGACTTCTAACAATGTCCCCTTGTATCACCATAAATGATTCCTTTCTATTCTTGAAGCTCACAACAGACTCAGCATATCTGAAAGTTATGTGCTCCTGGTAGCAGACTTTTTGAATCCTGTTCATCTTCTATAGCAAATCAAAACTTACTCTTGTTGTTTGGCTTTATTAATAAATAAATTCTCAATAAGATAATTAAGTTTAGCTTAACTCTGGTCACCAGAAGTCACTGTCTGTAAAACTTCTACCTCAGGACTGAACATCCTGAACCCTATGCCCTCTGTCTCTCTAAAAAGCCATTCCCATGTCCCTTATATCCAGGTTTGGTAACAGGCCATCTGCAACAGTTACTCAGTAAAGCACACTTAATGCCAAGCAGCAACATAACCTGCCAGTTGGTGGGTGCAGGCCAGTATTATCTGCCTATGGGGTACAGGGTCAAAGCAGTGCAGGCATCTCATTACAGGTCCAGAGGCATGAGTTTCAGCCTGCTTTACACTTGTGCCAAAGACTCCGCCCAGTTGACCCAGCTATGAATGGGTGCCCAGGCACTTGGGCTGGGGAATCAAATGTGCTCAGATGTGATGGTAGCTACCTTACTTCCCTGTGTCCCATTGGCTACAGAAACTCCTATGGGATGCTCGGCACAGGAAGACTTTTGAATATCAGCTTGTTACAGCTCCTTTAATTAAATTATTCATACTTAGTTCATAGATCCTGAGCCAGCTTCCACTGAGATAATTAAGGTCTTTCTGTTAATTTCATTAGGAGCTGGATTAGGGCCTAAATCATTCCTCACAAGGCTGTTACTTCTGCCTCCTGAACATTCAGGTTGATTTTTGCTCAGCTCCTTACAATTCGTCAGCATCTGGCTGATAATAAGGTGCCCTGAATATGAGGTCTATTACACAGGACAAAAGGGAAGACTTGCATGCAACAGATGTTTTAAAAATACTGTATAATGAAATATAATGGTTCCTGTCTCACATACTTCAGCACAATCATCAACTCTGCTGAGAGCTAGTCACTGGTTTTTATCTTCTGTAAGTTAAAATAAGAAAGCCTAGCAGCTTTGGCATTTTGTGCTTACAAAGCTACTATGCTTTTTAATATTTGACTCATCCAAAAGTATGTTCTTTTTTCAAAGTCTAAGGATTTGCATGGCTAATTACCCACAGAGATGAAAATACAGTGACTATGAGGACTAGTTAAAACAGCTTGCCCAGCAAAGTAATTTTTAAATAAAATTAAGTGCAATAGTATTAGAAACCTTGTAATTTGATTACTTTAAAACAGAAGCTGAATAGAAATTAGAATTTATTGCTGCTAACCATACTTCTGACCTTGTTGGGGATTTTAATAGGTCTCTGGTTGAAGACCTATGCCATTATGCTGTGTCAGTTTATTTATCCTAAACAAGGATCTGTCTGAGCATTTCAACACACAGGGAAAAATAACTCTTAAAATGCCATATTTGAAAACCGAACATTATTCTCGGTTTATGGTGCTGTCCATTACAGAACTATCAAGACATTTCTTACTTGATGTTGATGCACCCAGAGGGGCCAGCTGTATCCTTTGTCCTGCTGATCCAACTTCTTTTTTCTGAAAGGAAGGGATATATCCTCCAGATGGACTGTAAGTAGCACCTACAAAGCCAAGATTTCTTGTTGACATGTGCAGTTTCAGCTGCATTTTGCAGTTATTTCAAGACATAATTATGTTTGTACAACATGCCTGCTAAGTACCATTTAGCTTGATAAGATATTTATGTGTATTTGTTCAGGAAATGTATGTATTTGCTTCTTTACTTTCCATACTAGCATTGCTTTTCCAAACATACATACAATAGCCCTTATACTACAATTTAGTAGGAGCAAAGAAAGCACGGCAGGGAGACATCATCAGTATCTGGATTAAACTCAGACCTCAAGGTAGGAATTTAAATCAACCTTAGCAAAGGAAAATCTTACCTTTAGACAGAAAGCTTTTTAAAGGGCTTGATTTTTCATCTTTTAAAAGAGTCTGGGGACAGAGGTAGATTAATGCACCAGGCATGGGGCCCCCTGGGAAAAATCTCTAACACTAGGGGAGGTGAGTAGGGTGCTTGTCCCAGGAGCCGGTGCTAGATGGGGACAGTGAAGTGAGACCAGCGTCTGCTAGGTGGGCAGCCCCCGTGTTGCTCTGGGGGTCCTGCCAGCTGACCAGAGCACACAGAAGCTTCTAGGCCATGAGCAAGCGTCTTCCCTACTCAGTGCCATCCTTCTCAAGGCCCTGCCAGAAGGCTTGTTAGTTGCAGAGCCAGGCTCCCACAGCCCCAGTGCAGGCCTCAGCTGAACTCTCTCTGTGGCTCTGCTCCCAGGACCCAGCTCTCTGGGGAAGGAAGAGTCTGGCCTCACCACAGCAAGTCCTTCCCCTAGGCCAGAGTTCCCCAAGCAGCTGCACGGATGAAGGGAGCTGCCAGCAGGTCTTGCCTGGCACCTCCCCTGGGACCCAAACCAGAACTGCCCAGTTATGAGGCCAGGAGAGGCTGGAGACAGTCTCCAGAATCTCAGCCCAGGGCCCTCTCCCTGCAGAATTTGCAAGCACGATCATTTAAAAGGTAAGACATGTTCTCATGAGACTTTATATGTTTGTATTTTTTCACATTTTGGTTACATAATTATAATTTAATTACATTAAAACACGTGTAATGGGTAATAAAAGAGACAGTTTTTAAGTATATGAAGTTTAGCACATTTTTAATGTTTCAGGAATGATTAAAAAAACCCCATTGAGATGTACTGTGCAGGCCTACTGCTTTATTTTAATTGCAAGAATCACTATTGGTATCCTTAGACGCATACTCGAGGCTATCTGTATGGCCTGTATTTTTCTTGCAGTAGTTTACTGTAGTGTAGGTACAATGTAAAACATGTATTTAAAAACAAGGGTCTACATGACCACTAAACTATCGTTCCTTTCATATTATTATGCATTTATGGCAATCCCACACATCCAAGTCATTTTCCAAAGGCAGTTTTATTCAATTTTGTGTGGCAGAATTGAGTAGTTAATTTTAATATTGCATGTTGTGCTTTATTTATTAATGCACTGTGTAAACATTTAATGGGTCTATTTTTTAATGCTTTTTGATACATTCATGTTTATAGTGGGGTGTGGGGGGCCTCCAATTTTCTGTTTGCCCAGGTCCCCAATAAATCTTAATCTGCCACTGTTTGGGAAACAGTGTTGTTTGAAGTTTAAGATGAATTAACAGACACCAAACAACAGTTGTTGCATAATATTTGGTCTGTTTTTTCTTTTGATGGTTAGTGGTTCAGGGACTGTGGGGTATTGAGATGTAGCTGGGGACAATAAAGACCAGATCTCCAGAAGCACTTGGGTGCATAACTCACAATGACTAAGTTCTCAGACAAGCTCACCTCTCATTCAGGAATTAAAACAAGGCGCCACAGTTTTGAAGGAGCTCAGCACTGCCTCAATGGCAACTGCTTGGTGCTGAACACTTTTTAAACCCTCTTATTTAGCTGCCTGAATGGGAACTACACTCTTCTCAAGATCTGGCCCCAGTTGTCTAAAGTCAGGATAAAACTCCTTGTCTAGAGCTTTGTTGACATCTGCATACACCAGACTTAATGATGTGTAGGTGACATAAATTAACACAGGATTGCATGGTAATGAATGGGGGTGTGTGGAAGGGTTACAATGACTGACTGGAGGAGGGAAAGAGAGAAAGTGAATTCTGGTCTTGCTGAAGTCTTTAATACTTCTGTAGTACTAGGATTCCACTCATGTTTTTAAACCATTCTCCTCCCACAGTGCCATGCTGCCCTTTCAGTAGTTTAACTGTTGCCCACCAAGGCTTTTAACTCATTTTTATTCTAAAAGCTAGTTTGGAAATTATAAAATATTGAAAATTTATACTTATAAATCAAAAGCAGAGTTGATCTTAAGCCACAAATTACACGTACACCCAAATTTCCTCAATGGTTGGAAGTTCAAGAGTTGAGGCTTCTGATTTTGCCCAGTGCAGAATTAACTGCTAGCTATAAGGTTCTGGCTATAATACATACTCTGTCAAGCTCTAGTCATTGTATCCAGTTTCAGTTCAGGCCTTTCTCTACAGCTCTGTCTATAGTTGAAAAATCCAATTAACCACCATTCAGAGTCCTTAACATGTATACAAGACACCATGTATCAACACATCAAACCAGCACAGACATTTGGTACATCATTTGGACTGTTCCAGCTCTGAGCATGATTAACCACTGTGTGGCCTCCACCATGTCAGCCTCCTTTAGTGTTGCATTAGGACAGATTGCATGTGTGGCATTGTTTCTGCTACAGTGAAACTGGTCCTCCCAATGCAATCCCAGAATGTTCCTTTTCCTCTCCTTCCCCCAATCATGTTACAGTTTGAAGTGTTGGATCTATTGGCTGTAAACCTGGCTGCGTGCACCCCAGATCAGTCTTGACTGGCTTCAGCTCTGCTGAGCCTGCCCACATCTTCCTGCATGGGAACCTCAGCAAAGGTAGCACTGAGCCAACCTCAGGTATTCTAGCTTCAAACCTCCATCTGGAGCAGGCCTGAAAGCAGATGAGACAGTACTTGGCTTCCCTGACTCTCCATCTTACATCTACAGAACAATAAAGAATGACTAAGAAGTCTAGATGAAAAAAACAGCTTTAATAGAACATTCAGAAAAATAACTCTTCTGTGTTTTTTCTTATATTTACTTCTTCCCTTTTAGGGATTTGCCTGAAAATTAAGAAGAACAAAATCAACTATTGGTTAGTGCAAAAAAATCCATGCTGGATTGGAAGGGATGCACCTTCCATGCTGGATTGCACTTGATGGGGTTGGTGACCATTTGCTAGCTGACAGCTTAGTAGCATTTTCCATAACTCTGAGTTCTGAAAGAGAGAATATGACATGGTAATTCATTAACAGATCCACAGCAAGACTGCCTCCATACTGCATCTTCTATATCCCTTTAAAAAGTCACCTACCTCTTCAGAATGGTCAGTCACCCATTTGACTGCCTCCTGCCCCTAGTTTTCTGATAAGTCCTCTGGTGGTTCTCTGGCAGTAGACCGAGGGGAATGGATAACAGAAACTGATTGGATCACATGGCAAAGTCGGGAGAAATGGTCTTTTGCTGAACACGAGCCATTCCTGCTGCTGGAAGCTAAAGGGAAACACAAAGAAGAAATAAAACATTAGTTCTGCTTCAAATCAAAATACAGAAAACTAAACCTAGAAATATATTGAAAAGATGAACAAACAAAGTTAATTCCCTTACCTCTGACCACTGCCATATACAGAGGGTGGTGCTCACTACGATGCACATCAGGTCTCCAGGCTCACTGGTGGTCTAGTAGCTGGGTGATCAGGAAGCTGTTGACTCTGTCACAGTATCAACAAATGGAAGTGTGCAGCAGGGTATAGCCCATACCACTCGCAACGCATGCCTTGTTCCTCATGTAGGACATAGCCATTGAAGTATTTGAAGCAAGCAATGGATTAATCCCAGGACGTGAACTACTGCAAATTTCTTTTGTCTATCCCACAGTACCTGACATAACAAGTGCATATAACCTATCATTTATAATAAAAGCATCGACAGGCTCTGTGATACTGGCAGTGAGTACTAAAGGACTGTGCAGTAACCGGAGTTACCGTGTAGTAGCACAGTCGAATGGCTTTTTCATGATGCTGACTGAGCAGTAGTGATGTACTGCGCAGAAGCACTGCATCACGCTTCCTATCATGTGATGCTACTGTGCAGTAGTAACGAGCTACTGTGCAGTCAGTGTCTTGTGTACACAGCTTGTGTGAAGCAGGACACCTAGGAAGCCACTTCTCCACACCATTACGCTAGAGTGACGGACTATAGTCAGTTTCTGTTCTTGAGTTTAATGGGACAGGATAGTAACCAAGCTTGCTTACTTTGGCTTGATAAGGATGCAAAGATATGGTTCAGTTTTTCCAGTCTGAAACACTACAGCAGTGATTTTCAACTAAGGTGCCAGGGTTCCACGAAATCACAAATTGAGTAGACCCCTAGTTATAGGTGAAATTCACTCTGCTCTCTGCCCAAGTAAAGAGTCATTGACTGACTAGTCCCACCTATATTCCTACTTCCACCTGCCACTACAAAAGTTTGTGCAGCACTGTTCAGTGGCAAACAAACCCTGTGCTTGTTTCTTTTCATCCTGTCTCTCAGCCCCTGGAAAGCAGAATCAAAATGATCTTATTGCAGTCTGGATCCCTTATGCTCATAAGGATAGGAAGAACAGGATTGGGCCCTACGTGGAATAAGAGGAATTGCAACTCAAACAAAATTATATGATTGCTTGGAATCCTCTGTACAGGAGCAACTGCAATAAGAAAGGTAAGATCACAAAACGTACGACAGCAAAACATGGAACCTGCAAAGAATAAACTAATCCAGGCTACAATTGCTAAGTTACCTTTTGGCTCCTCTAATTTTTCATTCAACCTTTCTTTGCATGACAGTTTTTCAATTGGTTTAATTATGTTTTCTTCTGTCGAGAAGGGAGATGAAAGAAAAGGGTGAAAAGACAGGCCTTTTAGAACAGTGAGATGAAGAACTGTTTAGGTGACTTAGAAACAGGGGAAGTATCTGAAAGCAAAGCAAGTCAGAGTGAATGAACAGTATCCTTACTGATATAATAGGTTTGCTAAAGTAACAAATGCTGCTAACTTAACTTACTATCAGTTTTTTAATTAGGGGAAGAAGAATGTCATTTAGTATCTAAATGCTCACAGGAAATATAGTAAACTTCACTATAGCAAACGCTGTTTATAGCAAACCCCTACTTTTAGCAATCCCAGCTACAAAACTGTTTTTCATTTATGATGCAGTGAAGTAACTAACAGTATTACAGCAGACACCTCCAGTTAATAAACTTTTCCCTACCTCCTTGGAGATTTGTTATAGCAAGACTGGGCTGTATAGTATCAGCTGCAGGGCTGACTGGACCTAAACCTGTCATTCTGTCTGAAGAGTGTGTTTCATAACTATTGAATGGTTAGTTCCTGTATTAGGGTCATACTGGGCACATTTACAAGACACTAACTGCACAATAGCCTAATAACACTGTGCAGTAGTGTGCTGGGCAAAAACTGTGCTAATACACTACTTCTCAGTAGTGTCAGGCAACTGCACAGTAAACATCACTAAAAACTCATGCTCCAGCATTACTGCACAGTAACTTAATGTGCAGTAACTATGGTGCATTAACGAACATGTAGATGTGCCCACTGAGGGAGAAAAAAAATTCAAAGTGAGAAGCTTAACTGATAAAAGGACTAAACTACAGGGAGAACAGCAGCTTTACACCAAGTCAGCTTGAAAACCTAAGTATAGTTGCTGTTTCTGTTTGCCTTGTCCCCTTCTCCCTCACCTTTCTCTGCCCACCAGTGTAAGTGCTTAACAATCCTATTTTATTCCATCTTGCTTAAATATTTTTCTCTCCATTGCTGTTGTGTGACAGACCAACACACAACTTGTAGGAAACGCACAAACTAGAAAGAGTGGAAATAACTATCAGGTGCTGTCAAACACACAAACGGTGTATCTAGACATGCACTTTACTGCAAAGTAGATTAGCTGCACAGTAAAGTGTTGCCATCCAAATATGCACCGGTATTAGGGTGCAGTAAACTAATTAACTCCACCATAAGACAGTAATGTCAGGGAAACACATGTATAGATGCACGTGTAAATTAAATCCATTTGTAGGTGGTGACTGTGGGTGTAAATTACTCCCAGTCAGCCCAGCCAGCTGGGGGCCTGCTCTGCCCCAGCTCAAACTGCTGCTGTCCAGGGTGCATGTGTAGACACTGCACCTAGGAGCAGTTTACTCCAGATCAAACTGCTCTAGAGTTTATTGCTTCACATTAATTGAATGTGTAGATGCACCCAAAGTAAACACACTGAAAATAAATATAATTTTTGCCTTTATATCTTTACAGATGCACTAAGTAGAAATAAACTGTTCCACTGAAGTGGGATTTTTAATTTCACTATGGGCACATCTACATGAAATTTACTGTGCAGTTGACTAATTAACTGTGCAGTAAACATCTCACTGCCTACACATGCATCCCTATTAGGAGTCGCAAAACTAATATATTGCAGCAGGGTAGGACTTGTGAATACAAGTAGTATTTACAGGTCCTAACCTCCTGCAGAGCTTTTTCATTCCCAGCAGCACATGTGTAGACAATGAGTTGGCTGGCTGGGGCAAGAGGGTACTTCAGTGCAGAGGCTGCCTGCCAGCTAGCTCCACACTAAAGCCCCCTCGTGACCCAGCCAGCCCCTCTGCAGCACACTGAAACTGGTCTACGTAGCCCTGGGCTGGCATGCTGACCCCCCTGGATCCCCTGTCAGTCGGGACTGCTGCGACCCAGCTCAATGTGCTCCCAATGCCCCAGAGCTTATTGCTCTGCAGTTTATTGCTGCATGTTAATGGCTTGTGTAAGATGCACCCTGGGCACTTATACATGTGCTTCAGGGGCGGGGGGGTGGCACTTTAACTAGAGCAGCTGTTGGAGCTGCTCTAATTAAAGCGCTGCCACAACTCCTGCGTTGGTGTCCCCGCACTTAAAAATGGTGGTGTGGGCGCTTAAACTAAAGCTAGTCAAACATTTAATGAGCTTTATTTAGTTTAAGCACCCCAATGTGATTTTTAAGCAAGGGGATGTTGATACAGGAGACACAAGAGGCTGCTGGAGTGTGGCAACTGCCACTGTCCAGCAGACTCAATTAACCGTGTCTGCTCTGACATGCTGGAATTCTATTTTATTTGTTAGCATTTATATACTGTAGTACATCTTTTTGTAGTTCATTTGAAACAAAATTACTTGATTTCATGTCATGTTGTCATAACCTAAAACTATGAGCTTGTCTGACATCATAAGCTAAGACAATCAGGCTGGTCACTATTAGGACAAGCAAGTTCACATGTGCAAGAAACTGTACTTAAAGAACAGTACAGACATTTTAGGACCTGAAGTTTAGCTGATACAAGTCAGTATAGCTCTGTTAAGTCAATGGAGCTACACTGACTTACCGCAGCTGAGAAATAGGTCTTGGGTTGTCCTACTGTGATCTACTTCCACAGCTGGATTACAAAGATGAGCAGTTAGGAGGTTCTGATCTTTGCTCCTGACTAACTGGCTATGAAATCTCAAGCAAATCAAAAGATACATTAATCCAATGAGCACCTTTACTGAAGAAAGCTGGAAAACTCAAATACTAGGCACCATTCATTCTGTGTAAAGGCAGGAGACTCTTAATGTTCGAGAAGTGTATTGGAGATTCTTATGCAGAAAACATTGTTGAAGTATTATGCATTATTTTTATTATAGGACCTTGTAGCCATAATCTCCCTCCACGCATCTGAGGATAGCTGGTCTTTTACATAATATTCCAGGGTCGGGTTGAGCAAGTTGTAATGAGGTCAAAGTACTTGCATGAATTAAAAAAGTAAGTTAATGGGTCTGAGAGGATTAAAATCAAAGATTTTCCTGACAGAGATTTATAATTAGAGTTAGCTTGTATATTTCTTTACATCTTTCAAGGAGAATAGTTAGCTCCTAAAGAAGTATATGTTAAGAGTATAGGTATTATAGAGTGAAACTGCTAAAGTAGAAGACCGTACCTAACTTAACTTATTGCAAGAATTAGCATAACATAATGTACTTATGATTAATGTTTAATTGCTCTCTTCATGAATTACCTGCATTGTTTCTGCTGAAAGACACACCCCCTCCAATAGATCCTAGTGGTTTGGAAAGTAATGGATTGTTCCAGGTTCCATGAGATCCTTCTTTATTGGTGGATACTAATGAGACGTTCTTAGGGTTTACACCTTAGAAAATACATTATTTTACACAGAGTGAATATCAGCTTCAAGGAATAGCTTATAAAGCAGTTAACATCTAGAGACTTGAACACTCCTTTACAGAATGTTAAACATGTTTTACCTTTAAAATGAATCACAAAGAACTGAAACTTGTTTTACTGTAAATTAAAGAGCAATGTCAACTGCTTTGATCAGGTTACATAAGCAAACCCTGAAGAAGTCCAGCATATAGAGAACTGTAATGATCAAGTGTTCACCAATGTTATGATATGTAATAGCTACACAGACTACATAGATCTTATACTTGTATACAATACAGTAAGAATGTGCTAACATAATTAATATGGGCTACTACCTAAACTAAATGAAAGTCAAAGGATCAGAAATGAGATACGTTTTTATGGCAATCAAGTGATTATTAGTAATATATGTAGTTAAATTATATGCTACCAAGCACAGCAATACCTTGATGAAGTATAACATTGTTAAGTAAAGTTATACCCAGCAAAGTTGAACATCAAATATTATTTTTCATCCCTAGGAAGGCTAAACAGGTATTTCTTCAAAGGAAAAATTTAAAACTAGAATGGGGAAGTCCCAGTTAGTTCAGCATGATGGGTACACTGAAAGAGTTAGATAAAATTAAACATCATGAAAGCAGCTCCTGATTTATTTGCACAAAAGATAATATAATAAATGCATGGATGTCCAGAATGTAGGACTAGAAAAAATATTAAGAACATACGAAGTATCATACTAGGTCAGACCAGCATTTCATCTAGACCAGCATCCTGTTGACAGCAAAAGAAGTGGTCGCTATACAGTGAGAGCATTGAACTGAATATCTCTGGAATGATCTATTCCCTAATTCAATACCTTTTGTGGCACCCACGATTATTGGTTTAGAGATGCCAGAGGGAACATCTCCAACTATTCTGGTCAAATAGTATGAATAGTGCTAAATAGTATTTAAAAAATAACCCTGAGGTGGTGCTAATATTTTCTTACATGATGCAATCAATTACCCTTTGAATGAAGGGATAAATTCTTCATATCAACAATATGGCTGTGAACAACAGAATCTTGAGAAAAGTGGTTGGAAAAGCTGAGAAATGAAGAGTGCTTCATACCTTAGTTATTTGTAAGCAAAGAATCATTTTGTAAAAACTTGAGTCTTGAAGTTGCTACCTGATATTAAGGAACTGATTTATCTTTGTCCCCCAAGAGACGAATTCATTAGGGAGACAGAAAGTATATGTTGTCCAAAGTGTATGAATGAATGACTTGTTTGGTAACCAAGAACTCCTTTTCAGGGCAACTAAGTATGTATGTGCGTGCATGCATGCGCGTGTGTGTGTGTATGTGTATATGTATGTGTGTATACATATAATATGGATTGCAATAACAGTCTTAATACAGTCATAGTTCCTGTTTTAACACGCTGGAGTAGTGAGCAAGAGATAGTGTGACATCAAGGAGAAGATGGTGATGATTATAATAGAGTAACTTCAAATAACTGCTTATATATAAATATTTTCCCTTTCTATTCTTCCTCATGACAATTTAAAAAGCTAAAGAATTTTCATGTTAATTGTCAGAAGAAAATTTCCAGCATTAAACTGAGCTTTTTCTAGACTTAAGTGGGAGCAAAACAGTGATTTCAAGGGACAAGTACTAAGTTGTCTGCACGTCTGAATCCCAGATAAAGCAAAAATCATTCTCTGAGATTAAGTTGGTACAAGGGTGATTTTGAGAGGTAGCCTATGAATTAGAGGGAGTGGTGCAGGCCAGTGAGGACATAGTGAGTCCACGCTAACTAAGACTGTCAATGACTCTCTACAGAGAAAAGATGATAGTGGTTATTTCAGAAGCCATTGTGAGATCAATGCTCAAGAAACTGTCAGCATCCAGAGTCAACCTGACTAGATATCAACAGTTTCTAGAGACTTCTAATTTCTTTAAACTTGGTCACAATTTATAGATGAGGGGATTTGATAGAAAATGGACTAGTTAACATATTATCCTTTCTTGCCAATGGACAAAGATGAAATGTCTGTGCTTATTTGGGTCTGTCTTCAGGTTTGGACACTGGTGATCATAAGCAGGTGCATGGAGTGAACTGCCACAGTAAGCAAATGGTGCTAGGAGCTCCCCTCCTCCATTCAGCCTGGCTCATCTCTGGGGTTCCTCAGCACTGCATGCCCAAAGAACTGGAATGGTGTTAGACTCCAACTCTGAAAACTTAGTTTAGTTCAGACCTATCCAACTTCTGCATGACACTTCCACTGGGACACTTGAGTGTTGCTGCGCTCTCTCCCCCTCTACTACAGTGGCAGGCAACCCCCGCTGCATCACACCAGATCCCGCTAAACCTGTTTCCCTCAGCCCTGTGGGCTGCAGCTACAGCTCCCCTACAACTGGAGGGTGGAAGGGGAGCCTGGAGACCCAAACAGCAGCAGCAGGAGATTGAGGGAGGGAGTGGTGCTAGACTAGAAGCCCAGGGGCCATGGGTTAGCCTCTCAGGGACTGGATGTGACCTACAGGCTGCCAGTTTAACAGCCCTGGCTTAGTTGATGAAAAGTAATATTATCTAAAGTAATGACATGCTATCACTTATAGACACTTTACAACTTGTATGATATAAACATTCTTCCCCTTACCAGGAAAATACCTTGCTTGTCTCAGGTAGTATTGTTTTGCTGATGCATTAGATATTCCAGAATCATTTCTCATCAGAACCGTGTTTTCCCCTCCTGACTGGATACAACATGAGGCCTTCGGCTCTGGCACACTGAAAATCAAGATATCCAGATAACTTTATGCTTGAAATGATAGAAATTTGCACTAGCAATGACTGAGGGAACCTGATTCTACTCCAATGGAAATAAATGGCAACATTATCTGACTTAAGTGGAAGCCGGATCAAAGCACGTATGAGAAAAACACATCCAGCTCCACTTCAAGAGTTGCCAGCACAATGTACCTGGGGACCCGCAAATGCTTAAATTGTATCTCTGAAGCCCAACAGATATAAACAGGTCACTAATGACAACACAAGTGTGACATGCAAATATCTACTGACTACGTAAAATAGATTGGAAATGGGTATGTTTTTACAAGAATGCAGGAATACTCTAGATGAAGCCTAACTAGCCCCAAGCAGTGGTACTGTTACATTGCAAGAGCTCTCCTCATAGACTCATTACATACCATATTTCACCCAATAAAACACATGAAATAATGAAGACGTGATCCCAAAATATACTCATTTGGGGTGAAATCCTGCAGTGGTTCCATGCAGGAGCCATATTATTGCCTTGCACTGATGCAACTCTACAGAAATTAGTAAGGCTGGTACCACTGTACATAAAGAAGAGACTGTGATTCTACCAATATTTTCACTGTATTCAACAAGCTACATTTCAGGTGTCAAACACACACAGGGAGTGTCCAGACAAGTGCAAATGTGCCTCTTGCAGTGTCTCAAACTCCCCCAAGCTGCCAGACAGTGCCTGGCACCGCGCAGCACCCTGCTGAGCCATGCTGCACTTGCATAATGCAGCAGCAGCAGCACAGGTTCCAAGTGGCTGGGGCCAAGGCCCACTGCCCTGTGGGGTGGCCTGTGCCATGAGGCCCTGAGCTCCCCAGTTGCTCCTGCCGCTGTTGGTAAGCTGTGGGTGGTCTGGGACGCTGGAGCCAGGCAGGGGAGTGATTTGGGTGCGGGGTGGAGGAGCTGAGCAGGGGACCAATCAGGAGGCTGGAGCTGAGCAGGGGAATCCCTGAATCCTCTCCAGCTTCCTGGTCATTCCCTGGCTCGTCTCCAGCCTCCTGCTTGTTCCCCTACTCATCTCCAGCCTCCCAAAGCTGGAGACGAGCAGGGGAATGAGCAGGAGGCTGGAGACGAGTAGAAGAATGAGGGGGGGGGCCTGGAGATGAGTAGGGGAGCCAGTGCAGGGGTAGAAGAGAGCTCTGGGACCTGGGGAGGGCTGGGACCCTGTAGGCAGGGCAATCCATATGCTGTGGGAGGTGCTGTACCCCTTGGGGGGCAGGGGACCCACCCTTCCTATGCAGTCCCCTCCCACACAGTCCCCCCACACCTACCACATGCCTCCACAACCACCCTCACTCCTTCCCCCTGCAAACCCCTCATCCCCCCACCACAGACCCACCATGTGATAAGCAGGGATCGCTCCCCCCATCCCTGCTGGTGCCCCCAGTCATGACCCACAACCCCTCAGCCCTGCCAGAGGCGGCCTCCAGCCACCTGCAAGCCCCATTTACTGCACAAGCTCCAGGAGGAAAAAGTGAGCCTGAGCCTGAGCCGACCCATGGCTGGCAGAGCCTCAGGCCCCGCCATTCCCCCTCTCCCTCCCCCTCTGGGCAAGGCTGGGAGTTTTCTGCCCTTTCTGCAATCAGCTGTTGCAGGCTGGAACTCAGCCAACCTACAGAGCTCTTTGCAAAAGTGAGAAATCTGTGGGTTTCTCTGATAAAAATGGGAAATCCATGCTTTTCTCTGTATTTCCATGGGAAATGGAAAATCTGGATCCCTTGTGATAAGGAAACCAAAAGCAAACATTAAAACATACAGATATTTAGGATTTATTTTGTTATGATGATAGAGACACTGGTAGGCTTCCAAATTGTTTTAACATTTTAAACACAGCAATAAAACATTGCCAATCTGATCTCTCTCTCATGTTCTAGTTGTGGAAGAACATGGATTTGTGGGTATTTTAATAAATGAATTTGGATGCTACTTCAGCAGTCCATTTGGCACAAGGGGTAGTGTCCCCAAATACCAATTGCCCAGGCCCCAGAAGCTCCTGTCTATTTGTATTTTCCCGTTTACATCCCCAGAAGCTCCTGAAAGCAAGCAGCCCTGATGTGGGAGATGTGTAGGGGAGGATTGGGGGGGGGGGGGGGGGGA